CTGCGAAAACATCGACCAGCCCAGTATTTAATATTTTGGCCCTTGGTGCAAAAATAGATTAGAAACGGATCCCTCGTTGAAATGTTTTTCGACAACGAAAAAGGGCTGTCGAACAATCAGCCCCTTATCCAAAATAAACGAAGAAGGGAGATCAAAATGCAGAGAGTCCTCGGCTTATGACCGTTCGTTTCGTGAGCATTCGAAGTTACCATGGCAGTAAAAAAAGTGAGCTACGACCAGTTTTTTCACACTTACGACTGCTGTGGAGTCCACAGGGTCACGTGATCAAAATTCAGACCCCTGCGATTGACTCGTAGTTACGATGGTTTCAATGTTCCCGGGGGGGGGGGGAACGTGATCCCCTTTTATGAACTGCTGACAAGCAAAGTCAATGAGGAAGCCCAGATTCACTTAACAACCGGGTTACTAATTTAACGACTGTGGTGATTCACTTAACAACCCTGGCGAGGAAGGTCCTAAAATGGGGCAAAACTCACTTAATCAATTTCATAGCCACATAAATGTTGGGCTCAGTTGTGGCTGTAATTCAAGGACTACCTATAAATTAGAAATGAGACTGAGACTGAGCATATGAATGGAGAGAGGGAGAGAAGACAGATAGAAAGATAAATAGATAATAGAGAGAAATGATAGATAGATGATAGATAGATAGATAGATAGATAGATAGATAGATAGATAGATAGACAGACAGACAGACAGACTGACAGACAGACAGAGATAGATAGATAGATGTACACAGAAAAATAAATAGATAATAGAGAGAAATGATAGATAGATAGACAGACTGACTGACTGACTGACTGACAGACAGACAGATAGATAGAGATAGACAGATGTAGATGGAAAGATAAGTAGATAATAGAGAGAAATGATAGATAGATAGACAGACAGACTGACTGACTGACAGACAGACAGATAGAGATAGATAGATGTAGACAGAAAGATAAATAAATAATAGAGAGAAATAAGAGAGAGAGAGAGAGAGAGAGAGAGAGAGAGAGAGAGAGAGAGAGAGAGAGAGAGAGATGGGTGGATGGATCAATCGTCCTATTTTATTGTGTGGTGACCAAAACTGGAGGCAGTATTCTCGGTGTGGCCTTACAAAGATTTTATAGAGTGGAACTAGTTCCTAAATTAAATTAAAATTAAAATTACTAGTACCCTAAATTGATTTATTTGCCTAGCACACCATATTAATTTAAGGACACACTCCAGCCTTATTTTTCTTTCGTGACAGACACCATGATTATGGGTCAGTGAAATCATTAAAAACTACAAGTATATGTTGGCTTCTAATACTATTTGGACTTTCATCAAGGGCATTTGGCTCTCCAGCCAGACTTATAGCAGCTGCACTTTCTGAGGAATTAAAACAACAAACAAAATCTAAACCAAAGGAAAAAAGAAAACCATGTCTCCTGCAGAAATCAAAGCATTATGTAATACTGCGAGCTGCATAAAGGTTATTGACAAACGAAAAAAAAAAGGACTTGAAATACAAGGGAGATAGTTAGTAAGGAATACAACAGTATATCAGTTGAATTATTGGCAGTTTTAACGCCTTTGGGAAAGTCTTTAGCCAAACTATTCATTCTTCCCACATTACAAATGCCATTTCGATGATGATGATGATGATGATGATGATAATAATAATAATAATAACAACAACATCATCAACAACAACAACAACCGGAGAAGATAACAAAATACAAAAATCTACAAATAGAAATAGAAAGACTGTGGCAAAGACAAGCAAGAGTAGTACTAGTAGTAACAGGCGCCTTGGGTGCAATCCCAAAACAACTTGAACACCATTTGGACACCATCATCGGCATTGACCAACTCGTCATTAGTCAATTGCAAAAGGCGGCCTTACTAGGAACTGCTTCCATCCTGCGACGAGATCTGTAATACCATTAAACATCCACATCTGCCTATCCCAGGTCCTTGGGAAGGACTTGATAGGTAGACAAAAATGCCAAATCCAGTCTGAACATCTGGCTGACCGTGCGATGATCCATAATAATAATAATAAAGTTTGAAGGGACCTTGGAGATCATCTAGTCCAACTCCCTGCTCAGGCAGGAAGCCCTATATATCATTTCAGACAAATGGCTGTCCAGTCTCTTCTTAAAAACTTCCAGTGTTGGAGCATTCACTGCTTTAGGTGGCAGGTTGTTCCACTGGTTAATTGTTCTAACTGTCAGGAAGTTTCTCCTTAGTTCCAGGTTGCTTCTCTCCTTGATTAGCTTCCATCCATTGCTTCTTGTCCTGCCTTCAGGTGCCTTGGAGAATAGCTTGACTCCCTCTTCTTTGGGGCAGCCCCTGAGATATTAGAATACTGCTATCCTGTCCCCCCCTCGTCCTTCTCTTCATTAAACTAGACCTACCCAATTCCAGCAACCGTTCTTTATATGTTTTAGTCTCCAGGCCTTTAATCATCTAAGTTGCTTTTCTTAGCACTTTTCCCAAAGTCTCAGCATCTATTTTGTAATGTGGTGACCAAAACTGGACGCAGTATTCCAGGTGAGGAATCTTTCTAAGGATTTATAAAGCGGTTCTAATATCCTGTATTAATCTATAAAGAGGTATTAAGATCCTGTGAGCCCAGATCCTACCTGATCTGGAGAGGAAGATCTAGTCCAGTGGTTCTCAACCTGTGGGTCCCCACGGTCATGTGATCAAAATTCAGACGCTTGGCAACTGGTTCATCCTTACTACGGTTGCAGTGTCCCGGGAGGGGGGAGGGTGTCACAAGCAAAGTCAAGAGGGGATAAAGCCAGATTCACTTAAACCAGTGGTTCTCAACCTGTGGGTCAGGACCCCATTTGGGGTCGAACGACCATTTCACGGGGGTCGCCAAACAACGCAGTCCGCCATTTTTTTCCCCCTTTTCCTTAGCTGTGCTATTCCCTTTTATTCTATTGGCTTTTGAAAGCCAATAGAATAGACTCTCTTGAATAGAGTCTAATTCTACTGGCTTTCAAAAGCCAATAGGAATTGTCCAGGCTGTCTCTGCCCTGCTGAGCCTGCCAAAAGTCCCATTCTGCAAACGGTGCTGCACTAGTTGAGTAGTCCTCGACTTACGTCCAGTTGAGTAGTCCTCAACTTACGACCGGTTGGGGGTCACGGTATTAAAAAGGTTGAGAACCACTGATCTAGTCTGAGAGTTAAATCGCAGCAAGGCCAAGCTACTATTTGTACATAAACCATGTGGCACTCTGTCTTCTCCAGCGATTCTGGATTGGGAGGCTTCTGGAGTTACTACTACACGTATTGCTAGATGTCAAGCCAAAGAAGAGCACACGCAGAGAAGCAAGAACTGTATATGAATGACGGTGGTATTTATAAGAACGGGACCAAAATGAACTTTTGTGGAATCCAAGGCTATAAAAACTTAAGTAAATAAATATCCTGGTGGCCACGAAAGAAAATACCTCTCAAATGTAACTCTGCTTGTATTTGGCTCTACGAGCTTAAATACAACTTGACGGCCCTCTGTAAATCAACGCTTGCACAAATCTAGGAAGATCCAGCTGTTTTTCCTAAGGCAGACAAAATCTCAGACCATATTTATTGGAAACATTTCTGCCCGATCTTAAAGAATAAACATCTTCCCAAGGGGGCCTCTTCGAAAACAGAAATACCGCAAAAGGAGAACACCGCCACAATTCCAGAAGAGCCTATGAAAGCAGTATGATATGACATGATAGCAGTGTTCCAATATCTCAGGGGCTGCCCCAAAGAAGAGGGAATTAAGCTATTTTCCAAAGCGCCTGAAGGCAGGACAAGAAGCAACGTGTGGAAACTAATCAAGGAGAGAAGCAGCCTGGAACTAAGGAGAAACTTCCTGACAGAACAATTAACCAGTGGAACAACCTGCCTCCAGAAGCAGTAAATGCTCCCACACTGGAAGTTTTTAAGAAGAGACTGGACAGCCATTTGTCCGAAATGGTGTAGGGTTTCCTGCCCGAGCAGGGGGTTGGACCAGATGACCTCCAAGGTCCCTTCCAACTTTACTACTACTATTATTATTATAATTATAAAGGGCTGATAAAAATCGAAGCAGGCAGTTAAAATTGGACAGCCTCGTGGACAAAACAGTCCCAGTGGAATCTGGGTTCGGTTACACGCCAAGAAAAACATGTGAAAGTCTCTTAAACTCTCGTAAAGCAGGAAAGCTCAAAAGTTAAGCCTTGAATGAGGCTGCTGATAGGGCAATATTGGAAGAAGGAGTTTTTGCCTACTTTAGAGGAATGGTTTCTTAAAGTTTCTCATTTATCTGAAATGGCAAAAATCTCGGCTTATTTGAAAGATCCATCGCAAGAGAAATATTTTGGGGTGTGGAAAAGATGGGTGAATTTTACACAGCACAAACATGAGATTAAAAAGTATTATTTAGCTTTCGAATAATTTATATTTAAGGTGATGATTAGAACTATTGTTTTGTTTTGTTTTTATATATTGGAGTTAAAGTATTTAAAATTTCGTTTTTTGAATGTATTTACAATTGTTTGATGTTTATTTAAGTTGTAAGGTTTTTTTTTTAGTTTTTATTAACCCTGTATTCAGCTCTGGGAAGAGGAGGGAGGGTGATCGGGGGAAGGGGGTGGGTGGGAGAGGGGGATTATTTTATTGTAAAACTGTAAAAATTTTCACTTAAAAAAAGAAAAAAGTTAAGTCTTGAATGCTAATCTCGCCATTCTTCACATAACAGGATGCAAACCTGTGGCGAACCTATGGCACCCTCTCCGTGGGCGTGCACGCCATCGCCCCAGTCCTAGGCCTTCAGCTGGGTTTTATAAAACCTTTTCGCTATAGGCCTCCGCCGCCGTGTGCAAAAAAATAAAATAAAAAGGTTCAATCAGTCCATTTCAACTTCTCGCGGGAAAAAGTGTTTTTGCAAAGTTGGAATTGATTGATTGAACTTTTTAGACCCACCCAGTCTGCCGTTACCACCACAGCCACGCCCACCCAA